TTTCTGTAAAAACATTTTACACTGATGAAAAAGGGGGAACTATGCATAAGAGTTAGTGAACATGTTTGAGATATTGCCGGATTTTAAAAATCTGTTAACAGTACATTTTTTTGGAATGTGATAATAGCTTTGTGCAGGGATTGAAATGTATTTTTCAGTTGAACATCACCTCCCGCAGGGGGAATTTTGATAAAATCCTTCTGCAGAAGGAATGCAATTGGATTTATGTGTGTAATACTCTCTCTCCTGTCAGTTTAAATAATGAGCTGAAACTAAATGCCCTTTTGAAGCATTATGAACTTTTATTAGTTATGTGCCTTTACCTAGATGTATTAATATGTGAAGATCATTTTCTATTATTATTATTTTTCACTATTGAATAAAGAATAGTGCAGTGTTAAGCAAATATAATACTCCCTACCTCTGCCATAAACAAATGTAATCAAAGTGCAATACAGTATATCACAATCCAATGCACAACTCATGTGTCACAACTAATGTCATCTAAACATCTGTTTCACATGGAGGTGAAGAGGAAACTTTTACATTGAAGACTTTGATTGGACACTTATTGCATTATATTATTATTATTATACAGGATTTATATAGCACCAACAGTTTGCTCAGCACTTTACAATATAAAGGGAGACAATACAGCAACAATACAGTTCAATACAAGAGGGACAGGAGGGTCCTGCTCCTTGGAGCTTACAATCTAAATATACATAATATATATAATATTGTTTGATGGATTTTCTTTTGGATTCAGATGACACATTGTCATATGGTGAATGCATTGAGTTGTGATACATTACACTTTGATTAAATGGGTTTTGTGATGTCACCACTGGGTTAACGTGATTACGATTTCTTATTTTACATTTCTTTATATCAGAGGTAGGTAGTATCCACTTGCTGACTAGTCATGTACCTTGTACGTCACCGCTCGATCGCTGCTACAAGCAGCAGGAGGGGACATCTCCCTCCTCCTGCCACCTTCCATCACTTTCACAGGATCTCCTGCCTCACACAGGCTAGTGACAGAGCCGAACAAAGACCAGATCGGCTTGGTAAATAGTAAACTGGAAGCGATGACCTGACATCACTTCCAGTTTACTCGGAAACAACTCGTGCCATTTTAAGAAAATAAAAGCATTCAATCACACCAATCTTGGTGTGATTGAATGCTTTTAAGGAAAGAGGAGGGATTGGAGTCTTATTAACCCTAGATCCCTCCATAAAGAGTACCTGCCACAGGCCTATTGCTGTCACAAGGGAGTTTACTCTCTTTGTTACAGCAATAAAAGTGATTAAAAAAAATCTTTTTTAAGTGACAGTGTAAAAAAAAATTAAAGTGCCCCCTCCCCCATGCTTGCGCTTGCAAAGGTGAATGCACGCGTCGGTCCTGCATGCATGGAAACAACGATCGGCCCACACGTGTGAGATATCAGCGCGGACGTCAGATCATGGGCAGTAATTCTAGCACAAGTCCTCCACTGTAAATCTAAAGTGGTAACCTGTATAGGCTTTTAAAGCATCTTGTCACCCTTGCACGGGTATGTGCAATTTTAAAACATGACATGTTTGGTATCTAATTACTCAGCGTAACATCATATTTTACATTTTACAAAAAATGGGTTTTGTGTTGTGGTTTTTTGCATTAAAATTTAAAAAAGTGTATATTTTACCAAAAAATTGCATTTGAAAATCCGCTGCGCAAATATCATGTGAGACAAAATAAATGCAAATCCCACCAATTTATACTCTAGGCCCTCTGCTTTAAAAATATATATAAATGTTTGGGGGTTCTAAGTAATTTTCTAGATAAATTACTGAGTCGTTAAGCGGGTGTTATATTTTCACTGCTTGTTCAGCAGTTTCAGACAGTGGAAGCGCTGATTTGTATATTCTGACAGTGAAGGACTTCCCCCACTGTCAGAGTACAAAATTACAGCTGGGGAGAATCCCCTAGCCTCCTTGAATGAGGAAAAAACTGAGCCATGTGTGGCCAGCTTAAAACAAACTATAGATTCATCTATTTTCTTTCCTTCCACCACGGGTGCAAGGAAAGAAAATTGCTAAATTCCCCTATTAATACTGCCTCCTGCAGCGCAATTGTATTCTGCTGGCAGGGAAGGGGGGGCACGGGGAGCCTTCCCGGCAAGCAGAATACAGTGCTTACGGCTAGCGTCTGTAATCGCAGACAGTAATCACTAGCAGAAAAATCTGAAAATCTGGTTGTACTGAAGTCAATTGGTGGATCTACTTGAGCACAATCAGCCTGCCCATACATGGATCGAAATGTATCCAGTCCCTGCTGAACCATATGAATTTTGATCCATGTATGGCCGGCATTAGTTAGGTTTCTTCTGTTAGTTGACAACAATAGGGATTTGATACGTATGTTTCATTATTGTTTATTTGAGTGGGGTTTTTGCATTTTATTTTTTGGATATGCTGATATTGCACTGTTTAATTATTATCCCTGCTGGATAACTGTTATGATATACAGTATATTGTTTAAGGCTGACCTTTGAGTCAGTAGTATAAAGGTAAATGTGACTATGTTATTCTGATGAAGTCAAGGGAAATGAAATAGTCATTCCACTATGCACTATTTTCTTTTTATGACAGACCAAAAGAAGCTGAAACCTCCCAAGTCCCAATGTTCGCATGTACATCCATATTTATATCTAGGGGAATATACAGTATCATCGTATGTGTATGTATGTGAATTAAATATAGGGATTATAGTTTATATTATAGCAACCTAAAAAAAATATTAACTGCAATGGTACACAATATCTCTGATCCTCTTGGGATGTTCATGCTGCAATGCTTGGAACTTTGACTGGGCTCTATTGTGATCATATGCACGTATAAGATGTACAGTCAGTGATTTGTGAATTGGGATCTATGAACTGTTCATAGCTGCAAGCAAGATCTGTTACTACAGGATCTGAGAATAGTTCTAGCTTGCGTTTCAACCCAGGACATTGTATCATAAGCCTCTGTGGTATCTAGGATTTATACTATTCATACAGCACATACTGATATTTGAATATATAGCATATTCCATTAGCATTTATCACTACTTTCAAAGTTTGATTATATGTGGAGTTCATAATCTGAACTCACATCTAAGGATATTGCAGTTTTCCACACCTGAGAGGTTTGCATTGTCCTGTATTATTATCATGACAATATTGCAATTTTTAACAGCGGCTTGTCTTCTCTTTGGTCTGCTCTGATATATTTGCATACTTTTCTATAATAATAATAGGTATACATTTTCATAAGATTTAGTATGCCGCAGTTACCTTTATTTCTTTGCATGTGGTTTTTGAAGCACCAACACCCAATGTATTCTTCAATTATGCTTGATACCACCAACAATGTTCAGCAGTTCTTTTACAATCAGTTCATTATATTTCAGGCACTCCTTAAAACAATTAACATCATGACACTTATATTGTTTTTGGTAGGAATTTCTTTTATTATTGTCAAATAGAAGCAAAGGCGCACCACTTTTTAGAGAGCTTAAAGTAAGACCCCCCTGTCCTATGCAATAAAAATAGGATATAATGGTCATAATGTGCTCTCTAAAGTTCTCTCTGAAGCTGGGTCAAAGCAGTCTAAAGCCCAACTCCTGCCAAGCTTTCTTTTTTTTTTGCTTTGGATAGAAAGAGGAAGGGTTAGATAGGGCTCCCCCTATGGGAGATTTTCTTTTTTTTTTTTCATTGCTACCCATCACCTGAACAGCAAGTTAGTGGCAGTCTCCCCGTAGAGGAAATAGACAGCAAAAAAAAAAAAAAAACAAGAACAATAGTTCCACACCCTCCCTTCTTCACAAAAGCAAAAAAAAACTTTTTTTTCCAAATGTCCCGATTGTGGAAATTTCCATGACCTCCTGTTACACCTGAGACCTTTCATCTGGAGGTAGGTAGAAAGCTTGACTATTGGAATTTAGACAGTTGGCATTGATCCCCTTACGCAGGAAGGGCATACATTTCCGCCGAAGGGTCACTTAAAGAAAACATTCTGAATCCACCTCAAGTCATGAACTACAATGATAGTTATTGTGTTCAGTTTACTCTACTTTTATCTAATTACTCATGAGATATAGAGTATGTCTTAATATTGTTAATGCAGAGCCAGCTATGGCAATGAGCCTGCAGGGTAATTGAAATGTAATGCCTGAGACTACTAGATATTATTAGTAGAATGTAGCCATAAGGGTCATGTAAGTTATGAGTAGGGTATCTTTATATTAATTTAATATAGTGCAAGTAAAGTTGGCCATAGATGACAGCCATTGGGCTGACCAAAAAAAAACTGAAAGGATTCCTCCATACACCTAACTTGTGTACATGGCTCCATTTTTTCATTTAGCCAAAAGGCTGAACAAATAAAAAAATTAACTTTTTCTCCCATCCATACAATTGAGGTAGATTGGGGAATCCTCCCTGCTGCACTATTGTATTTTAACCACATGCCTACCGGGCACCTTTACCCCCTTCCTGCCCAGGCCAATTTTCAGCTTTCAGCGCTGTCACACTTTGAATAACAATTGCATGCTCATGCAACTTTGTACTCATACGAAATTTTTATAATTTTTTGAGACAGATAGAGCTTTCTTTTGGTGGTATTTAATCAACTCTGGGTTATTTATTTTTTTCTGAACAAACCAAAACCAACTGAAAATTTTGACCAAAAAAAGTTTTTTCTTAGTTTCTGTTTTAAATGTTGTAAATAAGTGATTTTTCTCCTTCACTGATGTGCGCTAATGAGGCTGCAGTGATGGGCACTGATAGGCTGCACTGATGGGCACTGATAGGTGGCACTGATGGGCACTGATGAGGAGGCACTGGTAGGTGGCACTGATGAGCATTGATAGGCATCCCTGATGGGCACTGAAAGGCAGCACTCATATATGGCACTGATAGGTGGCACTGATAGGCAACACTGACTGGCATTGATAGGCGGCAGTGACTGGCACTGATAGGCGGCACTGGCGGCCACTGATAGGCAGCACTGGTGCGCACTGATAGGCGGCACTGATGCACACTGATAGGCGGCATTGACTGGCACTGATAGGTGGCACTGATTGGCAGCACTGATAGGTGGCACTGACTGGCACTGATAGTTGGCACTGAAAGGCAGCTCAGATGGGCACTGATATGTGGAATTGATGTGCACTGGTAGGCACTGATATGTGGAATTGATGTGGCACTGATGGGCACTGACAGGTGGCATTGATGGGCACTGACAGATGGCATTGATGGACACTGACAGGTGCCCTGATGATCAGTGTACATGTCCCCTTTGAGGACTGCCGATTACTGGCTCTCCTCTCGAGCTGTCAGCGTGACAGCTCGTGAGGAGAAGAATGCCGATAGCCGTCATTTCCTTATTTACATGCGATCAGCTGTGATTGGACACAACTGATCACATGACAGAGCCAACGTCATTGGCTCTTTCCGCTGATCAGTGATCCGCTGTGTCCCAGGGACAAAGCGCACCACCGATTGCAGCGCTGCGCGCCCTGGGGGCACGCACACGTGTTTAGAGTGGGAGGACGTCATATGACTTCCTCCCAGAACAAGATAACCACCGCCTGTCCATCATTTCCTTATATGGTGAGCGGGAGAAGGATAAAAGCGGGGGCTCCTCCTCCATCAGAATACACTAATCAGCTACTCATTAGATCAGCTCATCTAAAACGTTAATGGCCAACGATGGATCAAAATGTGTCCAGTTTAGTTTAAAGTCAGGAAGGGCTGGAATATCTATACATTTTTGGACCATTTGGACACGGATGTAAGAATTTGCTGATGACACCCAGATCTATCTCTCCACTCCTCAGCTCATCCCCTCAATCACCTCACGTATCACAAATCTACTAAGGGACATTTCAATATGGATGTCACATCACTACCTTAAACTCAATCTTTCTAAAACGGACTTTGTAATATTTCCTCCTCCCCGATCCCCTACTCATGACTTTACCATTAAGATCAACAGCACAACCATTGGTCCTTCCTTTCATGCCAAGGTGCTAGGTATAATCCTAGACTCTGACCTCTCCTTTGGGCCCCACATCCAATCACTGGCTAACTCCTACCACCTCAACCTCTGCAACATTTCTAAAATCCGCCCCTTTCTGACCAATGACACCACAAAACAACTTATTCACGCTTTGGTTATATACCATCTTGATTACTGCAACTCCCTCCTCACTGGCCTACCATTACACAGGTTATCCCCCCTTCAGTCTATTATGAATGCTGCTGCTAGACTCATACATCTTACCAACCGATCAGCGACTGCTGCCCCTCTCTGCTAATCCCTTCATTGGCTTCCACTAACCCAACGTATTAAATTCAAAATACTAACCACCGCTTACAAAGCCATCCACAACACTGCCCCTAGCTACATCACCAACCTCATCCGCAGATATCGCCCAAATTGCCCGCTCTGCTCCTCCCAAGACATCTTCTTCTCTAGCTCCCTCATAAACTCCTCCCACGCTTGCCTCCAGGACTTCTATAGAGCCTCTCCCATTCTCTGGAACTCCCTGCCATAGTATGTCTGGTCAGCCCCCACCCTGTCTGCCTTTAGGTGATCTTTGAAAACTCACTTCTTCAGGGAAGCCTACCTCACCTCCACCTAAGAACTGTACTTGAATCACCTCCAACAGATCATCCCCCGCAGCTATCGCCTTTTGTATCACATCCCCCTTCCTTTAGATTGTAAGCTCCACGAGCAGGGCCCTCTTATTCCTTCTGTACTGAAATTTATTGTAATTGTACTGTTTCCATACGTAGGATCTTTTTGACAAAAAAAAAAGTAAAGGAGCGCAAAGGCACATACAAGCAGGCTTTTACAAGCATGAAATTCTACAAAAACATGTGTATAGGCTTATAAACATGCATACACGTATAAATGACTTTCTATTTTATGTCCCTGTGCTCATCGGTCTTAGACCTCTTAGCCTTAGGTCTCTTGCAGACGGGAGTAAAAAAATCCCAAATTTTTCACTGATCTGTAAATGGATGCACTGTGGTCTATGGAACCATATGCACAGCTGCATAAAGATGAGTAATAGAGCAATGAGTACAGTGCCATAAAGCAAAAATAGAAAATTTTACATTTGAGAGCAGAAATCTAGCTGCATACGCATGTTTACATGTGTATACACGTATATATTGCAATACTGGCAATGAGAAGAATTTTACACTTGTATACGCTTACGTGCCTTTACGCTCCTTTACATGCATTTATGCAAGGTCTTTATGGAACATTTTACTTGGGATTGTTCTGTCAACAAGATCCTGAATAGAGGCATCAGTAAATGCTTTGGCTCCATGCACACTGGGCATTTTAATAACCCTGGTAACGTTAGCTGTGTAAAGTCATGATAATAACGTGAGATTTAAGCGGTTTTTAGCATTTTTGTATTAGCGTTTAGCTGTGTTTTTTCTGAGTTTTCTGGTGTTTGCAATTTTTTGTGTTTTTAGAGGTTCTTTTTACAAAATAAAATTTTTTTTTTTTTTGTTCAAAAAAGTCCAAAAATGCTGGTTTACCTTGTTTTACCACACTTTGCCGTGTTTTCCAGCATTAGAGCGTTTTTACAGCTAAAAAACTCCTCTAGAAACCACTAGTTCTGGGGTTTTTTCTAGTCAAAAAAACGCCCCTGCCAAAGAACGTTGATTACAGTCTATGTGTACATGGACACATAGGATAACATGTTGGGGGGTTTACTAGCTGTAGAAAAAAACAGCAAAAGCCAAAAACAGCCGCTGTAAAAACGTCCAGCGTGCATGAGGACTTACATTCATGTGCAACTGGCTTTATGTTGTCTGTGACTCCTCTAGGGAGCTTTCTCTTCACTTCATGTGCCTGTGACACCTGAGCAAGAAATAAGGGGTGACCAGGTCAAGAAGGCACAAACATAAATTAAGCCAGACTACAGTATTAACATTTTTCCCACAATGTAAAAGAGTCTTTAAAAAATAACTCCAGCCAAAAACAGCAAGAAAAAAAGTACAGTAAATAGCCTAATAAAGATGCAAGAACAGAACCAATGTTTGCTGCAATATTCAGCTTCAGTTCATAGATTTTGTCCACAACAGGCGTGGACTGACAACACATGGGGCCCCTGGGCAATAGGGGATCATGGGGCCCCTGTGTCCTTGCCCAAACTCAAAAAAGACTATGAAAAAGGTACCAGGGGCATCTCATGGGGCCCCCTACTGACCCCGGGCCCTCGTGCAGTGCCCGAGTTTCCAAATGGTCAGTCCGCCCCTGGTCCACAGGTTGATGGTCAGCATCATTCAGTCCCCTTCCTCTGAGTCCAGGTTATCCTGGACCTGCCCCAGCCTGTGACTGAACCTTGAAAGGAAAATCAGTACAATCACTCTGCTTTTTCCTGCTATCAGCATTCATCTTGGCAGCACATGAACTGGTTCTTTGCACTGCCTCTTCCTCTCACATCCTAGCTCTGCTGTACAGGGACTGCAAAAAGTTGATATCTAGTAAAATTCTGATATATATATACAGTGTTTGAATTAAACAATACACATAATGATGTATTCAAGAGGAATTCCAGATACTGTATAGTATGCTTTATACATAGGCACATTGGCCAGCTTGGAGAAATGTAACTATGTATTTACCATTAGATGATTGGAATGTTGCGCTGCCACTCCTACAACTGTGAGACACTGGTTAGAGAAGTAATATAAGTGATTGAAAGAATCAGTGATTGTGAAAGTGTGTAGTGCTACAATGCACCTCCTTCTTCAGTGTATAAATGTGTGAACTAAACAAGAATGCCAATGGTGTGTAGCGTGTTGCAATGCACCTGTTGCCTTGTTGCAATGTAATCCTACAAACCACCGTATTGCACTGTACTACAATACAGCACTCATAGATGAAAGGACTTGTGGGACACTCTGTAGTAGAAAACGGCAGATGAGATACTTGTGATATAAATGAGAACCCCTATGTAGCAAGCTGTGATTAATGTGGGGACTACAACACACCTTCCCCTAAAAAATTACACACTAAGTTAATAGTGCCGGGTATAGACCTATAAATTATGTGTCCTTAGAAAAAAGGAACCGGAAATATAACATAACCCGTGAAGTGAGAACACCTATATATCAAACTATAAATGTAGCGGGGACTACATAACACCTCCCCCAAAAATAGAGCACTATATTAATTGTGCTGGAAATTATCCTTTTAAAGAAAGTGTCCTTAAAAAATCAATGCATTAATTCAATAAATGTGGCACTTCATATTATGAAGCCCTGCTGCTACAAAGCACCCCCAAGAGCAAGAGGCGCAGCGATTGATGGTGTGCTGTGTCCCTGGGACACAGCGGATCACTGATCACATTAAAGAGCCGATGAAACAAGCCGATGTGTCCAATCACAGCTGATCACAAGTAAATAGGAAATGCCAGGTATCGGCAGTCCTCTCTTCACGCTGACAGTGCATGAGGATAGGAGAGCCGGTAAGTAGCATTTCTCAGGAGGGGAAACCTACACTGATAATTAGGGCACTAATCAGTGCCCTGATGATCAGTACAGCCCCATCACTGCTGCCTTTTAGTGCCCATCAATACCACATACCGGTGCCCATCAGTGCACTTTAATGCCACATATCAGTGCCCATCAGAGCTGCCTTTCAGTACCACCTATCAGTGCCGCCTATCTGTGCCACCTATCAGTGCCAGTCAGTGCCACCTATCAGTGCCCATAATTGCCATATATGAGTGCTGCCTTTCAGTGCCCATTAGTGATGCCTGTCAATGCCCATGAGTGCTGCCTATCAGTGCCTCCTCTTCAGTGCCGATCAGTGCCACCTATCAGTGCCCATCATTGCCGCCTATCAGTGCCACATATCAGTGCCCACCAGTGCTGCCTTTCAGTATCCATCAATGATGCCTGTCAGTACCCATCAGTGCCTCCTCATCAGTACCATCTATCAGTACTGTCTATAAGTGTCGCCTATCAGTGCCCATCGGTCCCACCTATCAGTGTCCATCAGTGCAGCCTCATTAGCACACATCCGTGAAGGAGAAAAATGACTTTTTACAAAGTTTTATAACAGAAACTAGAAAAAAACAATTTTTTTTTAATTTTCAGTCTTTTTTTAGTTTGTTTAGCAAAAAAAAAACCCCAAAACCCAGAGGTGAATAAATAGCACCAAACGAAAGCTCTATCTGTCTCAAAATGTGAAAAAAATGTTGTTTGAGTACAGTGTTGCATGACCACGCAAGTTTCATTCAAGGTGCGACAACACACTGAAAGCTGAAAATTGGTAAAAGTGCCCAGTAAGCAAGTGGTTAATTATTACTGATCTGCATTCATTTATGCCTTTTATATTGGCTTAGAGTTCAGTTTTAGAAAGCAATAGAACCTGACAAAGGCTCTAACTCTTTCACACTACGTTCAACATGTTTTGGCCGGGTTCGCTGAACCCATGGCAGATCTGTAGAGATCCATACAATCATTTGGATACAGTTTT